GGGCCTGCCGGGCGGGGAAGAGGCGGACGCTGGCAGAGAGCGGGGGTGGGGCGGGCGGGGGGGAGCGCTGGAGGCGACACCGGCGAGCCGGGGGACCTTAGGGTTGGGGCGCACGGGCCGAAGGCGTCGCTCGGGAGAGGGCAGGCAATGGAAGGGAGGAGGAGCCAGCGACAGCCGGGGAGAGCACTGGCCGAGCGTGGCCCGGGGCGGGGCGAGGCGCCGGGTGGCTGCGGGTTGGGGCGGGGCGGCCTGGGGCCCGTGGAAGCAGGCTTGAAGGGGGCGAGGCTGGTCCGGGCGGCCTGCGAGGGGCTGGCCGCCTCAGGAGAGCCAGGAGCCCTGAGATGCTGGCACGGTCGGTGTCAGATGTGCCTTTACGATGTCCACCAGGACTCCTTTTTTTGAGTCGGAGTCTCACTCGGTCCCCCAGACTGGAGCACAGTGGCACGCTGGCGGCCACCGCAGCCTCGACCCGCCGGGCTCCGGCGCTCCTTCCGCCTCAGCCTTCCGAGGAGCCGGAACTACAGGCGCGCGCTACCACGCCCGGCTAGTTTTTTATTTTTATTGTAGAGACGAGGGCTCGCCAAGTTGTTTTTTTTGGGTCTCGAACCCGCGGACTCGGGGAATCCACTCGCCTCGGCCTCCCAAAGAGCTGGGATGACAGGCTGAGCCACTGAGCCCGGCCTCCAACAGCACTCTCGGCGTGTTCCCCAAACCCCTAGAGGCGGAAATCTCCTGTAGTCCTTGGCTCCTCATATGGGACCCCACCAAAGGGCGGTTAGGAAGGACATGACAGTGAGCGGCCGTGTCCTGGCCGTGTGGGGGCGACATGCGAAGACACCCAAGGCTTCGGGCTAAAGAGCCACATCCGGGCACTAAGCCAGTCTCCCCCTGCAGGACTCTGGACTGATGGGGCTTCCCCGGGTTTAGTGTGATGGATAGATGTCGTCAACTTGAATTTTTCCCCCCTCACTTTTAGCTACTGGAAAGCTGAAGACTACGCAGAATTTCCATCATATTTTTAAACAGTATTCCCTGGTGGTGCAGACCATGCAGGCTTTGGGCCCCCTGTTTCCCGCTTAGCCTGGGCTGGGAAAAGGGTACCAGGTCAAACCTTGTGTCTCCTCCTAGGCAGTCAGTGCATCCTTTCCTGGGACAATGATTTCCCACACACTGGGCTGCATTAGTGTGGGGGCTTAATGATTTGCTTGTATTGACCCTTGGGCACTCAGACTCCACTTGTTTTCTTTGGTACTTAAATGTTTGCTTCCACAAAAAATAAAACTGAGCTACTCTTCCCAGTCTGAGTTTCTTTTCAGCTACGGCACCTCCAGATATTCTTGCCATTGTCCTTAGGTTGCAGGAGAGGTTCTGGGGTTCCAATATTCAAGCAGTACAAGGCAACTGAAGACAATTTGGGAAACGCAAGAAAAAGAAAATAAATTGGGCGACCCCCTTGGGTCCCCTCCCACTGTGGGAGCTTTTCTGTCCTCTCAATAAATCCTGCTTTGAAAATAAGAAAAAGAAAAATCGGGTCCTGTCATTCAGCATTTTTCCTGTTTTTTAATCTAACATGAGTTTTTCTCTTTTTTTGCATGATGGTTTCATTTTTATTTCTTAAATGGCAGTTATAATCCAGCTAGTGTGCAGTGATTTCATACTTTTTAATATGCATTACTTGCATGACAATGTGACAGTGCCATACTGTGGACTGACATACAATGATTAGAACAGATTTATATTTGGTCTTTATGTAAAGCGCTTTCCTCTTTCAAAAAAATTCTTCAAAAATGTTGAATGAATGTACCAAAGCTGCATTGTAACCAAACATTTAAATTATTTCCCATTTCCCCATTATAGATATTCAATGGAATTTGGGTATATATGCCTTTGCATGAATTTTTATTTCCTTAAGATAGATTCCAAGAGGTAGAATTATTGAGTTAATTATTTACTATTAATTTAAGGCTCTTGATCTGCAGTACAAAATTGTTCTCTAAAAAGTGTGCCCACCAGAAAGCTGATTTCCCACATCCTTGTCAGGGTCTGTCTCTTGACAAAATTAAAACATACAAACAAGCAAACTAACAAGTTTGCATAAGAAGAACAAGCAACCCAGAAACACTAGCAATTTGGTGGATTACTGGCCTTGGGAAGAAAAGACTAGTGAAGAAAACAGTACTTGGACAATTGGCTAAAGTGCTTGGGGGAAGCAGTGAGTTCCCTGTAAAATACATTGTGCCCTGCAACCTTGCTAACTTAATCTTGCGGCCCTTTTGTAGATGCCATCAGATTCCCTCTGCAGATGATCATGTTTTCTCAGAATAAAAGCAACTGTGGGCCAGGCACGGTGGCTCATGTCTATAATCCCAACACTTTGGGAGGCTGAGGTGAGAGAATTGCCTGAGCCCGCGGGTTCGAGACCAGCCTGGGCAAATTGGCGAGACCTCATCTCTACAATAAATAAAAAAATTAGCCGGGCATGGTGGCGCGTGCCTGTAGTTCCAGCTACTTGTAAGGTTGAAGTGGAAGAATCACCTGAGCCCAGCAGGTAGAGGCTGCAGTGGCCATGAGCGTGCCACTGCACTCTAGCCTGGGCGACAGCGTGAGAGACTCCAACTCAGAAAAAATAACAAAAACTTTCCAAAGCAAAAAACCACAGAGCCACCTCAGGAATCTAGACCAGGGAAAAGTCCTGCTTCCCTGTTCTTTGCCAAGTCCCGGCCAAGTCAGCCAGCAGCACAGGAGAGACTGCAACCTACCCTGCCGATGGTGCTCTTGTAGGCCGTCCTGATTTCCTGGCGCTGGGCCGTGTTGCGGTAGGCAAGGACGCTAATAATGGCATCTTCATCAGTGCCTGGGGGCAGAACAGAGACAGTGGGTGAGTGTCACTGGAGAAAAGAATGAGAAAGTGGGTTCCTCTGTGAACACTGGAGTGACCCAAACACACGCAGAGGGCTTTCTGAGAAAAGAGATTCTTGTTCAAAAGGTTTGTCTATTTTACTGGGAGATAGACACAGGATTTGAGACTTAGCCTCTCCTTTAATTAGCTGTTTACCACTGAACAAAACAGTTAACTTTTCTAAGCATTAGCTTCTTTATGCATAAATGTGAATGATGATAGTATTTTCCTTACCAGGCTATTGCCAGGCATTAAATAAAATAATTGAGTGCCTAGCACTTACTAAACAGTCAGTAAATGTTGACTTGAGTAATACTTGTATCTTTTCTCTGGAATTCTTTTGGTGTCTTTTGGTTCCCCTGTATCTGTCTTTCATATTCTTGCTTATTCTCATCTCTTTATCATTTCCTCTGAGTTTTGAAACAACTCAAAATTGTTTTTTAATTCACTGATTTGGCATTTTGCAGAGTTTAAGTTGGCTGCTACTGCATTCACTGCTTTAAAAATCTGTAATTGAGGTTTTTTTTTAGTTGGAGTCTCACCCGGTCACCCAGGTTGGAGCACAGTGGCATGCTCACGGCTACCCTAGTGTTGACCTACTGGGGTCCAGCGATCCTTCCGCCTCAGCCTTCCAAGTAGCTGGAACTACTATCACGCCCAGCTAAAATTTTTTTTATTTATTGTAGAGATGAGGTCTCGCCAAGTTGCCCGGGCTGGTCTCGAACTTGCGGGCTCAGACAATCCACTCACCTCGGTCTCCCAAAGTGCTGGGATTACAGACTGGATCCCTTTTTATAACTGCTAACAAATTACCATGATACAATATCCTATCAAAATTTTAAGTTATACATTACAAATTAGAAATGTCTTCAGTTTTGCTTGCTTTTTTCTTGCAGCAGCTTTTATAAGGGGACTTTATTCTGATTTTTCAAATTGGCCCTTTGTCTTTATAGCAGCCGGATGTTCATGTATGTCTGGTGAGTTTTCTGTTTTCGCATTGTTTGTGTTGTATGAGGAGTGTGATGGGTTACGGAAGTGATCTATTTAAATATTTCAGCCGGGCTCAGTGGCTCAGCCTGTAATCCAGTGCCTTTGGGAGGCTGAGGTGAGTGGATTGCTTGAGCCCGCGGGTTCGAGACC